CAAAACTGCAATTCAATACTACAGTAAAACCTTTGTATAAAACCAGGGTTTTTGCTGATTTGTTCAACAGTAATGAATACTTAGTCTGTGAAAACCCAAGCATATATATACATGTAGTTAAAAAAATCCAACAGATTTTTCCAACAATTATTTTCATAACAGACATAAAAATATTCAAACTTTTATACTCGTGAATAATATGAGCAAGTTTGACATGGTTTGAATAAACAAATTACTCTGGTTTAATACTCAGCACACATAAATAATTTTTAACAACGACGACAACAACAACAACAACAACACTGACAGACAAAGTTTCCTCATATACCAAATAAACTGAGAACAAATACTGTAATGTATAGGAATTGTACAGGTCAACACTGATAAGACTAAAAAATAGTATTTAGTGTAAGACAGGTGTCTATTATACACAGAGGTAGGTTTACACGGGAGAACTAACAACCAATACAACATCCTCAGTCATGTGACTCCCTGGTTGTGTTATTATTCTAATAATACTATACATATTAACCTCACTATGGTATTGCAATAAGACCCCTCAACTTTCCTGTTTCAACCATGCATAGATTTGGTTTCAGAAAAATAGTGGCCTCAGCATTAATATTAAATTTAAATTTATAATATTTTTGTAAGCCTCACTTTAGTATCAGAAAAATAAGTGTTCTAAACATGCGATTCCCTGTTTGTAATAATTAAATTATAATCAATAATAATCTCAAAAACTGATGTGTTTCACCACCAGTTCCCTGTTTCAGCACAAATTCACAAAATAGTCCTCTCTATAGTCTGTACTTTCCCACAGAAAATTGGGACAAAAATAGCCATATTTTTTGAGTAAAAACTGAAAATTTACACAAATTTTGTCTGTTGGCTCCAAAATTAGGGTTCATTTCCAGAAATATTGAAGAACATAAACAAAACAGTGCAGAATAATTTAGGTGAGGAAGTCTGGGTGGTGAAAAGGTTAAAAAGTACATAAAAAGAGAGACACTCACAGTTTCTTTGCTATTGCCATCGAATGCTTCCCTCACAAACATCTCCCCCAGTGCCATGCCAACTGATCCATCAGTGTCGGTCACGCAGAATCGCCATAAATCGGTTTTACTGCTGGCACCGTATAGCACTTCAGCTAAAGCAGCCGCTGCGTCTCGGAAATCTTGGTTTAGAAATGGCGACAATCTAGTCACCAATTTCCAAAGCATGTAGTTATTAATAACTCTGAAAGTAAAAGAATAAGAATATGACCTATTGTATTTAAGGAGGACATCTTTTTCCCATGAGCAGCAGATTATTGTCTTTTTTTATAAATCTAGGTGGCCTCGAAAATTGTTTGTTGACACAAAGACAAATTTATGCAGAGCAGTGTAGCGAAAAGTTGGAACTGAAAAAACAAGCGACCTCACGACCTCACGATCAAAATAGCTCCACTGTATTCGTAGAGTGTCATATTTACCACAATGTTCTTGTCATACGTGTGTCACAATTATGGTAATTTATAAGGTTGTTGCTATGGCAATTAAAATTATCCTTTTATCAAAGTAATTGAGCTTGTAAAAAAAGTCGACAAAATTTTTACCAAAACTATTTGCTAGAAATAGAGAATTGAAAAAATAGCTTCACAAAATGAACAGATCTGACAGAGGTCAACACAAGGTACATCCATACGAAATAATAAACTAATTGGCCTGGTAGTTAAATTGAAAAAATAATTGTTGACAGACAATTGCAGTCACCTATATAAACAGCTCTGCTCTGTTTACCAAGGTGTTCAGTTTACAAAGATGCGACATAATTGAAAGTGTTCAGTCAATGAAAGTGTTTTGTTTACAGAGGTTAGACAGTAATGAAGTTGTTCAGTCTACCAAGGTGTTCAGTTTACATGGGGGTGAAAGAGCTGGAAGTGTTCAGTCTAGACAAGATTAACTGTACATACATCTTAGGAGTCTTCAGTATCAAATCTGACACTTGTTCAATATAATCCGGGCAATAGAGGATGATGTCTTCGTCCTCGGTGATGTCTGTCACATCTGCTTTCTCAAACAAACTTTTTATATTCTTCAGCCATTTAAACTGAAAACAGAACACAAATTACCCATAATCCTGGGGGAAGAGAAGTTATTTTAAATTCCAAAATTTTAGTGCAATTATGCTGGTTAATTTGAGTTGTGAAAGTTGATTCTGGTGTTCATAGTTTTCAAAGTGCATAGTTAAATTAAGATAACCTTGATCTACAAACACCTTCACTTTTCTACAATTTCAATACGTGATTCAGAATACGGTGTTGGGTATTTTGTGGTCCAGATTAAACTTGCATGCACTGCATTGCTACAGTACATTGCAGTGAAGATTTCACAAAATGGTGTCATACAAAAAATCTGCGGTTAAAAAAACAAATGGAGTTTTAATACAGGTTGTAATACATTGTATGACAGTTTTTTTGTTTAGACGGGTTTCACTGTACTTACTGCAGGGGCTTTCTTGAATAGATCTTTAAGCTTTATTCTATGATAAAGTGTTTCTTCATCTCTTCTTTGGTCACTTGGCACTGTTATCTAATAAGAATAAAAAAATGTGTCAATTTAAAATCGGAAAATCTGAAATTAAAATTATTTTGCACCCACTTAAAGGGTCATATGCCATATTTTTGACATTTTCCTTTTGTTAAATAAAAAAAAAATATCATTTAGAATAAATTGACCAATCTGATTACTAAGAAGAGTCACATGACTACAAGGTTTCTTCATCGTATCAGCTGCTTACATTAGCTAAATCTTTTTCAAATTCAAGTACTTCTACCATTAGCGAACGTGTTTCATTTTCTTCGGCTCCTAGCAACACGGTCAACGTTGTCATGTATTCCAGGTAGGCTGTGAGAATCTGAGGATGAAAAAAAACACTGGGATAACAATGTTGTATCACTGGAGCATATCACAATTGGTAAAAAGTATCAAATTTTATATCGTTTTCACTAATATCAGTGAGAATTTGTTATTTGCTGTTACATGGGTATAATTATTCTTGGCAATGAATTGAGAATCTATATATTTTCATCATGGTAGAAATGTAAAAACAAGAGATAGCTCTGGTGTTAGAAATGCACATTTCAATTAGAGAACTGAAGATACATGTATCATTAGAAAATGAACAAATCTGAGAGTCCTATTTGTATAATATCAAAGCAATCAGACTTGCTGTTTTTAAAAAGAAGTTGAACATTTCACTGTTTACCAAAATTGACAAAAAAATATTCACCAAAATAAGAAAATTAAAGATATCATAACAAAATGAACAAATTTAAGAAAAGTCTACCCAAGGTTCATACACACCAAGTATCAAAGCAATCAGACATATTACACTCACAGGATCAGAGTCATTCTTATTCAGATAGTAGTCCCTGTTAGGTAATCCAAGCCCTGATTGATCAATCTGAATAAAGAAGAGAAAATAAACAAGATACTAGTAATTGGATGAGTCTTGTCGTCATTAAAATGGCTGTGTACATTGCGTGAAAAATGCTACAATTTCACTGCGCATTCAAAAACAGTGGCCAACACGCATGTGCAGTTTCCTCCACGTGACAGATGACCTTTGAAACACCGGGAATAAATCAGATCGACAGAAGTTTGTTGACGATCAGGTAAATTACAGTACTTTCTTCGTGGTCTTTTTTAAATTTGTGCTCAATTTTTAATCGTATGATATTTTAACTTTACCTTGATTTGTAACAAATGAGTTTACTATCAGATCCGAATTGTTATTATTCCCGTTTTTTTACTTATTGTGGTCAACGTTAGGTTAAAAACATGCTGTCAATTTGTTAACCTGTTTTTACTTTTAGTGGTAAGAGCTTCACTACGTGCGACGCCATCTTTGCTTCGGGGAAAATGTCACGTGACCACATGATGACCCATATGTGTCGAACGACTTGCAGAACTAATGATCGCACTGTGTAAACGGATTTAGCGATCACTTGGATATGCGATTACGATATTAAATTTCAATTTATTTTTTTTGTGTGTTGCCATGTAATTGATACTGACAATTTCAGATAATACCACTTTCCAGTCTTAACCCTCCACCATCTTCCGTTGAGATGTATTTGCTAGCACTAACTGATATTTAACACTAAAAGTCATCAGTCTGCACATGATCACTGAAATAGAGTAACCGTGGTCTGCGTGTGCTCGAACAGTACTAGGAGAAAAAGAAGTTATGCGATGGTACTGTTTTATCACTGCAATGAGAATTACAGACTGGATAACAACAATAACTTGTATGGTACATTTGTACAATGACAATAACTTAATAACAATATTAATAATGACTGAAAGTTTATTTAAAAAAAAAAATTGCTATAGAAGGATGATATTCCCACAGATTTTGAAAACCAACAGCGGCCCTAGCTACAAATGTGTGTCCACTGACACGTTTAGGTGTCACACCTAATTAGCATAAATTAACATATGATGTCATCTGAGTTGGTCATGTGATAAAGAGGTTATCACCTGATACTATTCATATAACTGGTTGATATCAGGTTATAACCTCGTAATATCTCACTTAATGAACTGTATATTAATGTAATGCAAATATTATAACTACCGTACCTGTATTATATTCTTCGAGGATTGTTTATCATCTGTTCCTACCCACAGTCCGTAAAATGGTTGAACATCAAACTCACTTTGTAACTTAGTTAACGTCATATCAAAATCGTACTGAGACTCGTTCCATTTACCGGTTACACTCCATCCACCAACCTTAGCACAATAAATAATTGAAAATAATTTTTTCTGAGAATCCCTGTCTAAGCCATGTTATTTAATTGAATTTAAATATGTCAGCCAGTTAGGCTGCATGTCATCTGTTGTGTATCTTTGTATACTTTTGATGCAGGATGGCATTAGATTCTAACAAGGACTCACGAGATAAACTTAACGATCAGCCATTTTATTTGAACTTCCTAATAAAAACTATACCATATTACACCACTAGCTGGCGCTGTTACAGTCTCAGATACAACACATAAACTAAGGTGGTTCCATTATTCTATATCAAATTGTTCCATTACACAACAAGTGAAGTAAGAACAAGAACGACACATACAATGTAGGAATGATTTACTTCCTAACTGGACACCATTTTTTCCAACTCGTGAGTTGAGTTGTATCATGAGCTTGGTAACCTCTTTTGTTACTGCTTTAATAGACAGCTGTTCAAATAAAAAGGAGTTGGCCATACATGCTAACCACTGTGCCACATATCAGTGCAAAAATGGCCAAAATTTGCATTAAAATAGCATCAGAAATTTTGAGATTTCGTTCAGACAGGGACTAACAAACTCTACTAGAAAATTGTACATATATACCAGCTTGATGGCTTCTAAGAGCGGCTTTGCTTTCAGTTTTTCTACAAACTTCTTCTTATCCATGCATGACTGGTAGTACACCTTGGCTTTTATTTCTGCTTCATTTAAAGATTCATTCAAAGGTTTTTCTACAAAAATAACCAAAAAAATTTATAAATAAAGCAAAGCTCAAATGAAAACAACATCAATAAACATTTTTTCTTAATATAAAACAAAAATGAGAAAGAAAACAAAATTATTAACTTTAAATAAATTATTATGCAACTTAGAGAGTAGCTACATACGCATTGGGTACTAAGCAATGAAGATTGTTTAATATAAATCAAACATATTTCTAATTTGCCACAAATAAAAAAAAAATAAGGTGTAAAAAGGTTTGATGAACAAGAATTTTTTTTTGTCTGGCCTTATCATAATTTTTCATGATTTATATCATAATATCATTTAAATATTTAGTACAAGTCAATAAATCCATCCCCACTTAATAATTATAAACTTTTTCACCACTAGTTCCCTTTTTTCATCACAAATTCTCAAAACAGTCCTATTTGTAGTCTCCACTTTCTTTCAGTCAAAATATCCAATTTCTTTGAATAAAAACTGAAAATCCACTCAAATTTTGTTTGTTGGCTCCAAAGTTAGGGTTAATTTCCAAAAATATTGAAGAATAGAACAGAAAAGGTGCAGAACAAATTTGGCCAAGAATGTCTGGTGGTGAGAAGGTTAAAAACAATAAACATAATATGCATATGAAGGAAACTGATCAGAATAACTTAGAAATTTACTGATATATGTGATTGGATTGTATACTGTTGTGAACATTGGTCTCACTTGGTTGATTGCAGCAGGTTTTTCAAGATATAATGTGACAGTCTCTGAATAATACTACATTCAATAAATATGGAAAATATCATTAAAGTGGGGGAGTCGTCACGTGCGCATATGTCAGATGGCCATAGCATGTCATTGTTTATAAACAAGCATCTACCCATGAGCCTTTGCATTTTTAGCATGTGTTGTTATCGTCGGTTGGGATTCAATTCCCGTGCGTGCGCAGGTGACACACCCACTTAAAGAGAATTCTGCTCAGTTCCCTAATTCCCATCCTAAAACGTAGTTGATGTCGCTTCAATATATCTATAGGCATATATATGAAGTAAAAAATGGATATTATAACAGTTTAGAAGAAATTTAAAGTTCATGAGTGTGACCTACATCTCTGTTCTAACCACTCAAATTTGTCTATACATAGGAGGAGCAAGTGTACTTGTTTCACTACTCATTAGTGAATACATGTACGAGACATGAATTCTCAATTACGTGTTGAAAATATCCAATAGAGGATGGTCTACTATATGTATTTTGATCCTCAGTGGTTTCTATTGAATCTTTTCACTTTGAGTATGATAAGAAATTATTGGCTTTTTTTTAGGGCTGAGATCTAAAAAAAAAGACTGAGAAATTGGTCAATTAATACACATGATCAATAGAAAAAAAAATATTGTGGGGAAAATAAATGTCACCATAATTGCAATTTGAGATAGGATTTTGAACCAAAATGATATAATATATACCAATAATGTCCATGTTTTGAGGACATACTGATTTTTAGAAACAAAATGGTGCCAGTCAGCCAACTTTGAGAAAATGCAAAATAAAATTTTTACTTTTTTTACTTTATCTGAACAGTATTTGAAAAAACCCAAAACTGTTTTGACAATACGTATGAATACTCCCTAAAGTATACATTGAATAATCACATAAAATTGAAACCTTACCAACCCTATGGGTATAATGGTATAACCAAATTCACATAAGATTATACAATACCTAGAGCGTTTTTCATGACGAGCTGATTTTCCTGCCATAGGACACCAAATGTACTCCACCGTGAATTTCCATCAGGTATAGGATGTGATTTGATCCAGCCTCCGCAGGCATACTGGTAAAAATCATCACATGGATCGATGCTTGTATCCATGGAATTGAGTAAACTACTTGCTACAGTCACGCACGCGACTCAAACAATAATCTGAAAATTAAAATCATAAGGTTAAAGGTTACGACAACATTTGACAAAGGCAGACATTTCAATTTTTAACACCTTGAAATCTTGATCATTATCCATTTTGAGTATAAAAAGAAGTTATTAGAAAGTCACCAATGACATATCAAAGATACGAGTTTCAAGCCCTTAATTATCCACCCTTGAACTGAAAATTGAAAGAAGTTTAAGTTTGACACCAAATTCAAGTTTTGCATCTACACAATGTTACTGAACATGGTAATGCATTATGGGAAACATTTCAAGCTTTGCATCTACTCAGCGTGTTACTGAGCAGATGTGCAATGCATTATGGGAAAGAAATTCACGTGTTGCGTCTACAGAACATGCCACTAAGCAATGTGCAATGCATTATGGGAAAGAAATTCAAGCGTTGTATCTACTTGCTAGTCATATACACTAATGTAAATCAAAATTTGAACTTTGCCATAAATTACAAGATATCTGCACAAAATTGACTCACCTGTGGGTTTGCGTTTGGCGACAACTAAAACCAACACAAGAACAGTTACGAGAAGAATGGCACAAAATATAAACAATAATCTTTCTAGATTTGATAAATTCTTCCACATTGACACACAAGACGATGTCTGATTCGATGAAGCCCTGAAAGTCACGTCTGGGGGTTGCGTTTGTTGCGATACAACGTTCGCCTGTTCCAGACTACCCATACTACCCGCATCCCCAGGATCCGTGTCTCCATCCTCAAATGTTGTACGCTCATATTTCATCATCTGTTAAAATGAAAATTATAAGATTTGAAATGATGAGAAAATTAAACAACAAACAAACATACAATGTATACAAATATGTGCATGTCTACAAAATATATGGTTAGTGTTCGTCTCAGGATGTCTTTTCTGGTGTTTTTGCATAATTTGTTTTGACGATTCTATTGGTATAGCACACTTATTTTAACTCCACGATCAAGTTTGATTGACGGACATACACAGGCGTAGAATAGAATATACAGCACACATACATTTCAAAGTTGCATACAATTTACTGTAAAATTATTTACTTTCATTGACATTTAATTTCACTATTTTAATATTTTCAACATATTCACTGTGTTTTAATTTCACAAGTTTGTCAAAGAAACAATGAGTTTTATTGTTATTTTACATGTTCATGTAGATTTAATTTAGCGGATTTTACTTATCAGTGAAGATAGCAAAACCCAGTGAATAATTAATGCATTTACAGTACACCCAAATGAAATATGATATTCCACTAATGTAACAAGTGATTAATTCAGGAATTCTATAAATTGAGTGAAAATTAAACAATTCATTGAATGCATAAAAAACAAATTTAGTAGACATTGGGATATATACAGTACGGATATACATCTGATACAACATGGTGTAATAGCTGCAT